ATGATCAGCTGTAATTCTGTGAAATAAATATCTTTTCAAAGTTAAAATTTAAAATAAATTCTGTACAGGCAATATTGTAAGGTCCTTGCTTAGCATCTGGGTGGCCATCTTAAGTGACAGCCGCCATTTCCCCACCCAAGGACATTTCCTGAAAAGGCTCACCACTCCCTCATACCAATCTAACCCTTTACCACCTGCATTCTTTCCCACCCTAATGTATACCAACCCCGCCGTTAATTGCCCACATTAGGACCTGAGCCTGGCCCATAAAAGTCTTTGTGACAAAAAACTCTTCTGTGTATTTCTGCCTGGTCTTTGTCTTTCAATTCTCACTTGCCTGTCTCCTGGTTCCTTGCTTTCCTTTCAAATATATGTTAGTATCTGAAAAACAATATATCTTAACATGCATGTGGCCATAAGATAGAGTCAACAAAATCAATCCCTACAAACAATTTTTATATTAATTACAAATGAAACTCAAAGTATTTTAACTTTATTACCTGCGTGGGCTCTCTCTCTCTCATCCAGCGAGGAAGTCCGCAGAAAAGGGTAGAGGAAAGTGTGGCTGCAAAGTTGCTACTCAAGACGTCCGGAGACCAAGGAGGAAACAGGTCTGATTTTATCGAACAGTTACCATGTATATATACTCAGGCAGTAGCTAAGCAGATTACAGGCAGCCACCAATGCAAGTTCTGCTAAGTGACCTTGCAGTGACCAATCCAGGAGTGGGCCATGGAGCAAGTACAGGAACTGCAACACATGCCCTCATGCCCAGGGCTGTGCCTAAATGATCTGCCGCTTACATGTCTAGCATGAGGGGAGTGGCCTACCTCTCAGATGCCCTTAAGGTATGCCATGTATGCAGTACTCCATGCATTTGTCCCCACAATCACCCATGGCAAAAATTGACTCCTTTCACTCAGGGGACTGTCCCATAAAGTAGGGGAACAGGGAGAGTTCAGGTTGATTGTGGACTACTCTGCCCCTCTATATGTCAGTGTGTTGAACCCATGACACACAAAAAAAGACCAACAACTCCAATTTTAAACCAAATTAAAGCAAGCTTATATTGTGTACACAAGAGAGTTGGTCAGTGATTGCCTCACCCAAATGCAGGGCCAGAGGACAGTGTCTGGTTTAAGAGCAGGGAAGTTTTTATAACAAAAAGTTACAAAGGTGAGTGTCTTGGGAACTTATAGCTGACAGGTTCTGGCAAGTGAAATACAAGGGCAGATAGCAGGTAATGATCTACATGGCTTAACATCTCAAGGTAGGGAGCAAACTCAGAGAATTAATGAGGAGCACCTGGGATTTCAGGGAGGGTTGTTATTTGGTCAGGGAGAACTGGGCACAGGTAAGTCCAAAGCATGGGCAGAAATCCAAAGTAAGTTTTTAAAACATCAAAGTATGGTCAGGCCAAATAAAAATCTTAATATTTTACAGTAAAACATAAATGAACTTTTCATGATGAGATGGCTCCCAATCTTAAAATGAAATTAGGCTGGGTTTATCAAGTGCCCTTCACTTCTTAGAGGACAACTTCCAGCATAATGGTGAATTTGAAGGACAGTCTCCTGCATGTACAACTTTTACTACAAATAGTATTTATTTTTACCTGTGATGGGAGAAAAAAGAAAAGAAGGTTATATGTACAGTTGCTGCAACAGTAGGAATGATTCTCCAAGAATTTAGGCAGGTGTTGTTGACTTTTGCTGGTTTACTTCAGAGGTTTGACTTAAAGAATATAAGCAGAAAGAAAACACACACAATTGTCCTTCTTATGCCAGTTCAATTCATCGTTGCTTTCCAGACTCCCTCTCTAATTCATCTTCACTTTCTCCTACTGTCATGGGAGAAGAGATGTCTCCAAAAAGGGATTAAAGTATTCCCTGAAAGAAGGGGGGACTTGACTCAGAACCAGAGGGATTCTTGACAGAATGTGACAGAGATGAATTTCAACATGCACCAGTCAGAAACAGAGATAGATGTTTATTAACACATTCAAGGGGAAAATAGGGGGAGGGGTGATCTCAAGAGAGAGAGGCCTTTTGCAGTAAAGTAAGGACTACACATCCAAGGGAGTACACATTCAACAGCAATTCTTGGAGACTCATTTCTACTGTTTCAGCAACTGTACAATAACTTCCCTTTCTTGTTCTCCCATGCAGGGTAAAATCTCTAGAGGGAGAGACAGCAATCTGTTGGTGTGGTGTGGTTGCTGGGTGTTGGAATAGAGGTGAAACTACATCAGAGCTGAAGCCAGAATTAAAGACAAGCAGTCAGTGTAGATAGGCGATCTGGGGTCAGATAGAGAAAAGGAGAAAATGGTTTGGGTCTGGGAAGTTGGAAACCACCACCCCTGGGAGATTGAAATGTTAATATCCCCAGAGCCTGGCCTACACTACCCCTCCCAATGGGTTGTTAATGAAGCAACTCCTAAGCTGACAGGTGCTGTTAATGTACCCTGGGCCTCCTTCCTCTCTGGATCACTCCACCTTGGCCCCTCCAATCCACCTATTTCCCATCTTTTGGCCACACCACTGGCATCTCCCAGTCACAAATTCAGGATGGGGGGAAATGAATAAGAAAAGAGAGAATGCAAACGAACAAAGAAAACTTTAAATGTATAAAAGGGATGGGACTTCCTCATCCCATGGATTCTGCCTTAGGGTCCTCATCTTCCTCCCAGGGGGAAATCTATTTTACTCTCCTTTAAATAAAGCTTCTTACTTTCTATCCAATGCTTGCCTCTGCGTGCTTCTCTGGTATTATACTTCAACATTCAGTCAATCAGAACTCGTCAAGGTAACCAGCAATATCAGAGCTACACAATTTCATGCCAGTGTCCCCTGCACTTGCTTATTGCCCTCAGGTACCTTTTGCAGACAAGGGCATGGGTCAAAGGTGTTGGCCAAGGGCACGGGCTGCTTCATTCAGAAGTTGCAGTTGTCCTGGGTGCTTTCTGCATTTCAGTGGTTCATGAGGGTTTCCGTGGAGACTCAATATCTCTCCCTTTATTCCCAAGTTCCTACTTGATACAACCTGCCCCTCACTGTGTCCTGTTCACCAGAATCTTAATCAATCCTTTGCTGGAAAGTCCCCAGATATAAAAACCATGACCTATATATGTGATATACAGACCATTTCTATAATTCTTTCTCAAGTTCCTCCTTGTCTTGCTACATTTTCCCACCACAAACTTTTTACTATTTCTTTAATCAAATTCCCATATTTTTATATCTTCCCTTATTTTGATGAGAAGGTTATTGAGAAGATGTATAATTCTTGATTGTTACAAACTCTTTTGTCTGAGCCAAAAATACAAATGTGAACTACTTTATAATATGTTGAGATTAAGAGAAAGCATATAGAATCTGTTAGTTGTGGAGCAGGCTGAACAAATGTTAGCTGCAGGATGGGCTGAACACTCGGCCCCCACCCTTACCCATCTGGTTTCTTATCACTTGTTCACCTCAAGTCTGAACACTCAACCCCACTCAAGGCTGAACACTGGACCCCCACCTGTCTGGTGCAAGGGAAACCCACATCTAGCCCCTTCCCAGTCTTCCTGAGGGCAGAAGATGATACCCTTAGCAACTACTGTATGATCCAATCACTGTATGCCAACAAGGCAGCTTGCAGACCCAAAGACCCCATTAGATTTTGGCTATAAAAATTCTTTCTTGCTGGGCCTCCCTCTCTTACTCTCTCTTTCTTCTCTCTCTCACACTTTCTCACCCCTTTCCCCTCTTTCTTCTCTCTCCCACCCTCCTCTCCCTTTGCGCTCTCTTTCTTCTCTTTTTCCTTCTCTCTCTCTCTCTCTCTCTCTCTCTCTCTTTCTCTTCCTTCCCTGTTAATCATAAATCATTGCAATAAAGATCTCTTGGTCACTCCAAGTGTCATGGTCACTTTCTTTTAATAATCGTACTGTCATAATTTAAAAAAATCAATGAAAGTAGAAAACAGGCTATGGCCAAAACATCTGTGTGAGGTCATGAGCAAGGGCCTTCTTTCACTGAACAGATATTACTTCAACATTTGGGAATAGCTGGCCTATAGGATGTTAGGAGAAATACAACTTCCATTCTCGCTCTTAGAAGGCAAGACTTGAGGTTCATTCAGTATTTAGTAAGTTGTGCTCTTACAGGAGAAGATGTGTCTCTAGAGAAGGGTCTAAGGAGTTTCCAGAGAGAAGGGGAAACTTGACTCAGGACCAGAGGGGTTCTTAGATTATGTATTGATGGAAAAGAATATAAGTATGTGCCAGTCAGAGGCATAAACAGAGGTTTATTTAGGAAAGTAGATATACAAGGTATCTCAAAATGAGAATGTAGGGCATCTCAAGAGAGAGAGAGAGAGAAATGGTACATTCAAGAAACAATATGTGTTTCTTGACATGAACAAGAAATATACATTCAAAAGAGAATGAAGGCCATCTTGAGAATGAGAGACACATTTTTAGGGTTCCTGACTCTTCTTTTAAAGGAAACTTGGTGAGAGGTGGGTATAAAAAGATTTGTAGAAATGATATCAGTGTGGTGATCTTCAAGATGTTTTATGGTAGTCTGGTCAATCTCAGGATCCTTGGGCTGATGTAGTCTTTGTTATCTTGTCAACAGAGGTGGAAAGTCCCTCTAAATTACAGGTCTCTCAGAATATCATATTTCTCTTTATTTAATCTATTTGTTGGGGGTGGGTAATTAACAGTGAAAAAGGTAGATTTACATGTTTCCCAGGATTTTTGGAGTAGCAGACCAGGCTGTTTGAAAGATACTGGCTTTGGTAGTGATAGGCCCGGAAATGTATGTGGAACTTCTGAATTAAAATTTATTTTTCTTTCTTTATGTCTCCTTTGTGCCTATTTAATTATTTTTAGAAATTTCTCCTACCTCAGTGCCACCTCTATCTCATCCTCTCAGACTTGAATTTTTAAAGTCTTTTTTTTTTTTAATTTAATTTTTAGTTATTGGCGGACACAACATCTTTGTATGTGGTGCTGAGGATCGAACCCGGGCCACACGCATGCCAGGCGAGCGCGCTACCGCTGAGCCACATCCCCAGCCCTTTTTAAAGTCTTATGCAAGAGAATTTTAGCATCATTAGCCACAGTATCAAGGAATTTCAAACGTAAAAAGTAGATTTTTAGAAGTTGGAAGACAGCAGATATGGCACCTCCATTCACTGAACAGCAGCACTCAGCACAGCTCCTCGCCTTTGCTGCTATACTATCATCCTTCACAAGTTGCCAGAAATCCAAGGACTTGATGTATGTCTTGATGCCCTGCATAGAAGTGCCCAACTTTTCAGCAAGTTCTTCAATTGACATATCATCAAGACCAAAATGATTTCGGTAAACCTTCAAGCACTTCTCTTGTTCAGGCAAATCAAAGCCATAGATAATGGGCATGAAGGGGACAAAGGCCAAAGATGCTGACTTCACAGCATCCAACCAGATCTTCTCCTTGAGGAAATCTCTCTTTATTTCAATAGAAGCATCAGAAAAAGTGGGCAACAGAAGTGCAAAGATATGACGCTTGTGAGCAGGGAGATCCTTCAGCAGAGTCTCCTGTAGTCTTGGGAAATCAAAATTATCCAAGTTAAAATTAGAGACTAGGAAGATGCATGGCTCAGGTACTCCAATGGAACTGAGATTAGCCAGACAGTTGTCTCGAATCTGCTGAAGGACTCTCTCCCTTTTGAAGGACTTCGGTTTGGTTACCTCTTCATTATATAAATCACTGTCCACTTTGGTTCTAACAAAGTAAAACTTCTTCCCCTCCTCTTTGATTTTCTGAGCCAGGAGAGCATCATTGAAGCTGAACCGGGAGGAGGAAATGATGATAAAGAAGTCATAGCTAGTAAATCCCACAGTTTCTAGATAAGTGTCTGGAAGGAAATTGGGAGTCCCTGTTCCAGGCAGGTCCCAGAAGGTCACCTTGGGATATTTTGGATGTTGATAGGGGGTCTTCTCCATGGTGGTCTCTACAACTCCAATGTTAGCTGCTCCCTCCTCTTCAGAACTAACCCCTCGCAGGGCATTGATGAAACTGGACTTGCCAGTCCCAGACTCCCCTATTACAGCCACCTCCAGAATACAATTTTCTGCTGCAGCAAGTGATTCTTGGATCTTGTCCACTGCATCATTTAGCTTCCCTTCCTGAAGGTCTTTTTGAATATTACTGAGGGTTTCTGGAGAGAGGATGCCTCCTACCTTACTAATTAATGTGGAGTAGTGAGGCATAAAGTCGTTAGCCAAATGCTGAAAATTCTTTATCGATGAATTCTTCAGGAAGGCTAAGATGAACTGATCCATGGTAGTTAACTGTGGAAGGTCTGGGGGAAAGGATACAGAAGGAAGAAGTAATAAGAATGGAGTACCCAAACAGAAACACAGGATTGGCTAAGAAGCACAATAATCTCTTTGGGCCACTTTCATTGCTTCATACCGATTCATTTTATCATAACTAATTTAATTTGCCTGATGAACTTAATTTTCACCATATAGGAGAGTACCTATTCTCTATGCAATTGATTTCTATGTCCAAGGAGTCAGGACAGTGTGGTAGACCGAATAAGAGTACATAAAGATATCTACCTCCTAAATTCCAGAACCTGTGAGCATAATATGTTACAGAATAAAAGGAACTTTTCTGATGTAATTAAATTAAGGATCTTCAGTGGGGACAAATATTCTGTATTATCCAGGTGAACTCAATATCACAAAAATCCTTAGATTAGTAAGGCAAGAAGAACAAAGAAGAAATAAATGAGATGATGGAAGCAGAGGTTGAAGTAAAATTCCATAAAGATGAAGGAAGAGTGGATTCAAGGAATGCAGTTGACCCATAGATGCTTGAGAAGACAAGGAAATGGATTGTTTGCTAGAATCATTAGAAGGAACCTGCTGATACATTGATTTTAGCAACTTATTGTTAATTTAGGACCTCTAATCTCCAGAATTAGAAGAGAATAACCTTGTTTTTTTTTTTAAAAACTGATGCATAATTACTGTATATTCATGAAGTACAGTGTGATATTTCCATACATATATACAACATGTATAATCAAATCAGGGTAATTAGCATATCCATCACCTTAAAATTATATCATTCAAAATTCTCTCTTCTAGCTATTTTCAAATATATAATAAATTATTAACTCTAGTCACTCTTCTGTGCTATCAAACATTAGAACTGAATTTTTCTGACTGAATTTTTGTAGCCATAACCCAGCTCTTCTCCATCCTCCTGCTGTAGTTTGGATCTTGAATGTCCCTCAAAGGCCTATGTGTTGAAGGCTTATCCCCAACCTGTGGAACTATTGGGAGGGGTTATAACCTATAACAAGTTATAACCTATATTATTTCCTAGTATAAGAAAGTAGTATCACTGGGGGGCATGCCATTAAAGGAGATATTGGGATCCTGACCCCTCTTATTTCCCTTTGCTTCCTGGCCATCACCATCAGAAGTGAGCACATTGTTGTACCACATACTCCTTGCCATTATAGGCTGTCATGCCACAGGCTCAAAGCCACAGAGTCAAATGACCATGGACTGGAATCTGAAACCATGAGCCAAAATAGAACTTTTCTCCTTATAAGTTGATTATCCTGATATTTTGTCACAGTAATAGAAAGCTGACTGCTCTTCCCTCCTCCCTCCTATTCCTAGCTTCTGGTCACAATTATTCTATTTTCTGCTTCTATGAGATAAATGTTTTAAGTTTCTGGCTTATTTCATCTAACATAATGTGCATCAGTCTCATCCATGTTGCTGCAAATGACAAGATTTCATTCTTTTTTATGGCTGGCTAATTCTATTTGTATATATGCACATTTTCATTATCCATTCATTCATTGATGGACACCTCGGTTAACTCTGGATACTGGCTCCATCTATTTCTTCTGTTCACTGCTGTACACTGTCTCTCAGGGCCTGAGCCAAAATTGTGTTATTTTAACCAACTAAGTTTGTGGTAATTTTTAATGATATCAAATTGGTTGACAATTTCTGCTTTTCCCCAAACCACAATGCATAGCACAGCAGATTTCTAGTCTGCAGAAAACTTACTCAGGCCTGCATTTTAGTGAGCAAAGAAGACTTCCAAACAGGCTTGATTTCCCAAGCCCTGCAGAAAATTGGGGCAGGTTTTATCCTGAGGGCAAGGCAAATGGACAGACAAGACATCAAGTGTCCTGTACTCCAATGTTCCATAAAAGAGATAAACACATAAGTCTGTATCCTGGTAGCTTAACTAATGTTGGTTTACCTCATTTAATGCATGAGTTTTGAGTGATTTAGAGCACATGATGCTACATGGCCTAGGAAGTAAACAGAAGATTGAATTTTCCCTATAAAATAAAGCACAACTTTGAAACACAGACATTTGGCCAAACAAAAACAACTACAGAAAATACTGCTGTTTGATTGGTTGGGCCATTTCTTAATTCATTGTAAAAATGAGGAGGCTTATATCAGGAAACTGAGAATTAAAAAATTATCTAACATAGTGTTGGCTCAGGGATGAACAGAAGCATTTTCCTGTAGAGTGTGCTGAGGGTTCCCCATATTCCACAGGTCCTTCAAGGAGATTTTTAAAGAAGAAAAAAAATCAACTCTCAAAGTGAACATGTGTTAAGGACTTTATTGGTAATTATTTATGAAGTAATGAAGCAGGTATCATAATCAGTAGAGTTCTTTGAGAATCTTAACAAACAGACATATTTATCTTCAAGTATATTTGCAAGAATGTGAAAATAGGCAAAAGTACTATCTACTATGGGGCAGGATCATCTGATCCTCAACAGACAGATTTTATTTATGTGCCAATGGAGAAATATTGTTAAAATTGCTACTAATTATGAAAAACTCAGAATTGAAAAATAGTTTTATGGCAATGAAATGCTACATTCAGAAAACCCAGATATTTTGCAATGGATGCTGTAGTTTCCTATGGGAGACATATAGGAAATATTCTGCTTAGTCCAAATTTTCTCATATTTTTCAACAATAAAGCCATCCTTCAGACACATGTTCTTTGTCATGTAAAGATGATTACCTGGCTTTCTGCCTCTACCAGAAAGACCTGCCCTCAGCCCTCCAAGAACAAAACCAGACCCCAGCCACTGAAAATCCAAAAGGGTTTCTTACTCACCAAAGAGATTTCTGGCATCAAATAAATCCACAGGAACAGCAGAAAATGCTGAGACTGTGAAGCCCACAGCACAGAGCTGTCCTCTCCCAGAACACACACTGTGTTCTGGAGTCAGCACAGAAAGCAAGAGGTGAGGCAAGTCTCTGTTCTATCTAGCATAATGAGCCCAGTGTGGAAGCAGAAGGAAAGAACCACAGCAGCATGTGGCTCCTGCACTTCTGGTCAGGAGGGAACTGGCTGATTTAGAAAATGAATTTCTAAAACTTGAAACTGAAACCAGTTCAACTTTATATCCTTTCTTGCCAGCCTAAGCACTTCCAGGAAAAGAAAACATTTTGGGACTTCAGGGTGGTCAGTGGATAAGAGGAGGACTGAGAGAGAGATTTCGGTCTGGGAGAGGTAGATTCCTCATGACTTCTGGGAGGTCACTGAGAATTGGACTCACCAGGGGAAGGAAAGCACTGGGAACAGGGAGGATACCTGTGAGCAAGTTCCCAAAATTTCCAGGGAGAGAGGCAGAAGTATTTTCCAGCAGAAAAGAGAACTCTAACATTGTGTTTTTCTGCTTGTGCTTTTTTCATCTAGAAGTGCTGATAGTTGACTGGCCATATTACCAACACCTGGGTATGAGAGGCCATGGCACCTCAACTGTGAAGGTCAGATATTTGGTTACACATGAATGATTCAAACTACTCAGAGAGGTTCTGGAAAAATGTAGTGAGATAGCACAAGGGAGAAGGAGAGAGAGAGAGAGAGAGGAGAGAGAGAGAGAGAGAGAGAGAGAGAGAGAGAGAGAGAAGGAACCTGAGCCAAAGCCTGTTTGGCAGATGCTGCTTTGTGAATTGCAGTTACATCAGACAAGTTTGCAGCTGTGGATTGTTAGATGTAGGCTTAGGAAACACTTAGGAGCTACAGGTCTCTGTTCCCCTTCTCTCAGAGGAACTGCAAACCCAAGAGACATTCCTAGGCAGAAGTACCAAACAAACCAGCTGTCAAGGGCTTACTTAGTGAGCAGTCTTCAAAGTTCAAAGAAGGTCCACTCCTTCTCCAGGTCAGCAGCATTGGTTTTTCACCCATTCTACATTCAATAGAAGCAGAAGGAACAACCCTAATCATTTTACAGCTAAGCAAGGACATATTTTTTCTAATGGTAAATGGAAATATAATTACCATCAGGCAGAAGTTACTGAGTAACCACTGAGGTTTCCCTGAGCCTTCCCTGCAGTCTGTGCTCTAGGTGAAACATGGGCCTTGCATCTAACCTGAGGGGTCAGGGAGCCAACTGCTTGCTTCAGGAAGGGAAGTGAGGCCGCCCCACAGTATGCCTTAGGCACCATGTCCTCAGTGTGTTTTGTGTGGGTAAAGGTGAGAAACAGGCTTTCCTGATAATTGCAAGGCAGAGTGGACCGGAACCCAGGGGCCCTGTATACTTGAAATGTTGATCAACAGTTCTGGCTACACTGAAGCAACTATGAGGGGTGTAATTGCATACAGGAAGATAAGGACATTGCCAACAGAGATAGCAACACAACACAGAAGGCCAAAGACTGAAAACTAATTGCTGCTTTTTTATCAAAGAGATATCAGTCAGACTCTTGACCTCTGGAAACTGAGGAACTGAATTAGAATTAAACAGAGAGAGAGCATAAGCTCCTAGGGTATGGTCATCAGGGGTGAATTATGCCATGAGTAGATGAATGAATTATGCCATGAGTAGATGAAGGGTCCACACTATGGCCATTGGCTCTGGAAAAAAGAAGAGAAAATTGTTTTCTCTACATCCTAGTTGGGGAGACAGGAATTTTCCATGTGAAATATATATGCAGTGGCAGAATGAGTTCTGTGTTAGAAAATCTAAATATGATTTTTGAAAATTATATTTTCAAAATCTTCTACTTACTATTCCTTCATAGAAAAGTGAAAATACTAGCTTCTTATTGGCAGAACAGACCACTTACCTATGTAGATATAGTAAATGACTTGAATTGTGGTGTGATGACCCCCATCCCCATGGAGTCGGACTTTTACACATAAACATATCAAATGGTGCTTCTTGCCTGAAATACTGTTTTTTTTTTTACATCTATCTGTGGACATTTAAACATAACATACCACAAAGAGCTGATATCACAATTGAGTGTTTGCAAGACACTTGGAAGGAGATTAGAATAATATACTTGGAGTGGAGGCCAGAGGGCCAAGGAGAGTGGATTAAAGTGAGATCATGAAGAACATTATGAACATACATTATTTTATTTAATATCTACCCTGCTCTCCAGGAACAACTAAATATATTTAGGAGCCTCACCTATGAACTTATACTCAAGAACACAATGTGGAACTCACATAAACAACTGAAGAGAGAGATCCTACCCTCTAATGACCCCATTGCCCATTTTCAGATAGTTCCCAACTGAGACCCAGCCCCTGGCTCCTTCTCCTCTGGTCTAGAGTGGCCACTGCTCTCAGGATACTGGAGCTTGATGCTCACAATGTGCAACTAACCATGCCATAGTCAGACCTGTTGCTTCTATACCCTTCTGATAAATAATAACCCTTTTCACAACATATGGGTGAGAATAGATGTGGGACAGACACTCATAGAGCATCTACCAAGCAGAACTCTTTATTGGAAACCACACAGCTGCTGCCTCTGGATATGAAGATCTTATTAGACCTGAGTAGAGGTGACTTCTTTCCAAGCACAGAGGGAGGAATTTAGGTTAGAATCTGAACAGAGTTCACAAGAGGGATGCAAAGTTTCCCACTGTATTTTAGAGCACACATTGTGAATCTTTTTCTAAGGTTAGGTTCTTCTCTTGAGGTCACTCTTTCTTAACTAGTTCTGGAAATGGTTTGGAACTGGGCCCAGTGAAACTCACAAGATCCAAGAAGGCTCTAGGTAAACAGCTTCCTTTCTTCTTCACATTCTGGAGGACTTCTTACCCATGTGATGTGAGCAGGGTAATCTCTTAACTTCTTATGACCTGGCAGGCCTGAAAGGCCCATCTAAAAGCCCAGGTCCAGGGATTATCAGATGATGGCTGAGGATCTGGATCAGCAAAGTCAAGAATAGGAGTGAGGAGAATAGGGACAAGCACAAAACGAGGTTGTCCTGTGACCTTAGGCTGAAGTGGCCAGCTGGGTTCAAGCAGGATTTACCTAGAAAACTCTCTTGCAGGTAGAAATAACTACACAAGCATTAGCTGAAGATGAATGATGTGTGTTCCTTTCTTTATCCTACAAATGTCTTGCCACGCTCTTCATCTGGCACTGGGCACTGTCATGTGATAATTAATAGAAGGTCTTTGGCATTATACTATCCTTAGGGCTTTGATATGACTTGCTATAAGTACTCCTGAAGGGCAATATGATTTCTGAATTATACTCAGATTAAGCAGACATTTCCTGGGAGGATGCTTCAGAAAGCAGATGTGTCTCTGACCTCATCCTAATCCACTGACCATTGTCTCTTCTAGCTGCCCTGAACAATTCTGATCACCTGCAACTTAGACAAATGGAAGTTTATTACTTTTAACCAAAAACTACTTCATTCTGACTAAATTATTCTGAGACCACTTCCCCTTTCAATATGACATCTACAAAAGGGGAATGGTATTCATGGAGATTAGTGTGATCTCTAAAATTACACAGATGCTTTTTTGAGGGAATGGAGGGCTCAGAAGGAGAATGAATTTGTGGCCTCTAAACCAATCCACAGTGTCTCTTCTAATGCCCTGAACCATCCTGGTCACCAGTCTAAATGCATATTTATTATTTTTTAACCAAAAGACTGCTTCATTTTGACTAAATTACTCCATGAATCATTCAGAGGAAGGACCAGATCCTTCAAGATGAGATCAGAATGCTAGGATGGCCTCACTTGTTTTTGCAGCACAGATTTCTGTAGTCATTATCCAATCTCAGGACACAACCAGGAGGGTAAGTAGATGCTGGACAGGTGAATCCTTCCTGGGCCCTGACTGTGGTCTCCTTTGTTACTTTGTGGTGTTTAAAATATAAAATCTAGATGCTGATGAATTGGAATGTGCTGGTTTGTTTGAAGTTAATTGGAGCCCCAATTCTTGACTCTGTGGTAATAATAATAAATTACCTCTGTACCTGCTTTTGGGATAGGGAGGGCAGACAGGACAGTAGCCACCTTTATCCCTGAGATAGTGGGAGACCAGGCAAGGCCTTTGCCTCAGGGCCTCCAGAGGGAGAAATGAGTTGTGAGTAAGGTGGGTACATATAAGAACAATATCTGTGAGAAACCAATCTTCTGGATTCAGAGCTAAAACACTTCCATTGTCTTTGACAGGGAGACCAGGCCCTTTCCTTAGTTACAAAGCAAATGGTGGATGAATTATCATCCTGGGCCAACAGAAGGTAAAATCCTCTGTATCTGCATGCATGTATGCATGTAAATGTGTTGTACACCTGTGTGTGTCTGCATGTGAGGTGTGTGTTCATGTATGGCAGATGATTAAGACCATTATGGTTGGCTATACATAGGCCTCTACATCTAATGCCAAGGGAAGATGCATATGAATCCTCTAATTTTCTGGGACAGTAAAATGCTTCAATAAATAATTAGTGATCACAACTGTGTCTGAAGATAATTGTTGAACATGCAAGGGAAAGACTCATAAAGTCACATATCACAGGATGCTGTAATACGAGGGAAGGTAAAATGAGCAACAGTCATGATGTGCATTCTCCAGTAATTTAATTTTTTTCTTCTTCCTATAATGTGATGAGTACTAAATAGAGAAAAACCTTAAGATTGAAGCAGGTTCTGGTATGATTTTAGCCCTCTGTGACTGCACCTAGCAGGGAAATGTATCAAAGACAGTGGTCATTCTCTGACAGTGATTATTGGTTATTTCCATCAGTCCAGCAATGTGCAGAAAATAAACCACAAGAAATGCTAGGGGAAACTGAAGGCCACTTGTTTTCAATGTATTTTTTATTGGTGTATTATAATTAGACATAATAATGAGATTCATTGTGATATAGTCATAACTGCACAAACATAACTTGATCAATTTAATTTCTCAGAATTTTCTTTTTCCCTCCAATCCTAACTCCCTTTCTTAGCCATTCTCTGCTCTATTGGTCTCATTTGTATTTTTTAGATTCATGCATTATATTATACATAAAAATGGGAT